TTTTTTATTTTTATTCTTATGCATTTTATTGTAATATGGATTAAAATTAAATTGTATTTTTTGTAATTTTGTAATTTAATTTTATATGTTTTATAATTTGCCGATATTTGTATATTTCATAAAGAGATGTATTTATGATGTGGGATATTCCATAAAGAGATGTATTCATGATGTGGCGATTAAAAATGAGATTATAAACTGAGCAGACTGAGCGGGGTTGTGATGCTTATGTACCCCTCTGGGATGATTACAGTGTTTGTATCAGGAATCACAAAAAAGCAAGGCATTTTATCTCTAGGAAAACATGGCTGCCCCCCATTAGCATAGTCAACAAAATGGCGGAGCCGTGCTATTATAAGCCGGCAACAGCACGAGTGACCGAACCAATCAAATTCCCACAGATGAAGCCACGTCGGTGACCAGTGGCGTAAACGCGTAGGGGTGGGACTGGTAATACGTCACTCGTAGGGAGTCAGTCCGTTTGCGGCCCCCCCCCCCGCACCCCCCCCCCGTCCCACCGAGCGCACAAGCTGCCGACCAAGTCAGACGGCAGTCTGGGGATAACAGTATGTACTACCAACTTATCCGAATATATGTGAGTGCCGACACGGCTGTAAGAAAAATTAAAAGTTCAAGCTTTTTAAAACGATAAAGCACCATGTCAGGGACTTTTTTATATATGGAGAACCGCATGGAGACAGGAAGACAGAGGAAGTGGCCCACCCTATCTGAAGAGGAGATTTTTTCCATAGCATATGTCGCATTCCATGTGATATCTATATAAACAGGGAGTTCTTAACAAGCAAGGTTTCCAAAGGAGCGTAGAACCTGCAAGGGGGCCCCTTTAATAGCCTAGATTGCAGGCTATCTATGAGGTGAGCCGCAATCTTTCACTTGAGGGAGGAGTCACAAGCCAGACACCGATTTAATGTTATTGAACGATTTTTTATCAGGCACAAAGTCACTTTTTGGGACAATTAATTTTTATATTATATATTATAATATATATATATTTTTATATTATTTATTATATTTTAGTATATTCTGTGACCAATTCATAATCCACTGTTTCTATGTGCACATGGTTTATTTCGAGTTGATTTAAAAGATTTCCCACAAGTATAAGTATTAATGTTTCATTACTACACATCTTTTCACATATATTGTTGAAAGGTTGGAGAGCGCAAACACTATATATTAATTTAATTTTACGTTTTTTCACATTGGTAGTTATGTGCTAGAGGTTTTGCGATCCAACAATAGGAATTTTTTATTTTATCATATTGGCTCGCAAGATTTCTTTCAAATATTGAGTTGTAAAATTTGCCTGTCCCCTCAAAATACCTCAACACACAGCCATTAAAAGGGGCGTGACTGACAACTCATTGGGGACCCCCGGGCAATAGGGGATCAATGGGGCCCCCTGTTGTCCTTTGCCCAATACTCAAAAAAAAAAAAACCATGAAAAAGGTACCCAGTGGGCATCTCATGGGGCCCCCTATTGACCCCGGCCCTCGGGCAGTGCCTCGAGTTTCCAAATGGTCAGTCCGCCCCTGGCCATTAATGTCTAAAATCGCTGGCAATTAAAAGTGAGTACACCCTAAGTGAAAATGGCCGAATTAGCCCATTTTCCCTCCCCGATGTCATGTGGACTGGTGGTATAGTGTTACAAGTCTCAGGTTTGACTGGGGAGCAAGTGATGTTAAATTTTGTGTTATTTTCTCTCACTCTCTCATACTGGTCACAGGAAGTTTCAACATGGCACCTCATGGCAAAAAGAACTCTCTGAGGACCTGAAAAAAAAGGAATTGTTGCCTCTACATAAAAGATGGCCTAGGCTATAAAAAGAATTGCCAAGACCCTGAAACTGAGCTGCAGCACGGTGGGTCAGCCTGTCAGTGCTCAGGACCATTTCGCCGGCACACACCTGCATCAAAATTTGGTCTGCAGCAAGGCTGTCATCCCAGAAGGCGAAGCCTCTTCTAAAGATGATGCACAAGAAAGCCTGCAAACAGTTTGCTGATGGACTAGCAGACTAAGGACATGGGATTACTGGAACCAATGTCCTGTGGTCTGATGAAGGACCAAGATAAGCTTATTATATGGTTCAGATGGTGTCAAGCGATGTGGGCGGCAACCAGGGGTGAGAGAGTACCAAGAGACAAGCATGATGGTGGGAGTGTCATGGTCTGGGGCAGCATGAGGTGCTGCCGACATGGGGAAGCTACAGTGCATTGAGGGAAACCAATTGAATGCCAACATGTACTGATTGTGATATACTGTAGGCAGAGCATGATCCCTCACTTCGGAGACTGGGCCAACAGGGCAGTCTTCTAAAAATGATAATGACGCCAAACACACCTCCAAGAATGACCACTGCCTTGCTAAAAGAATCTGAGGGTAAAGGTGATGGACTGGCCAAGCATGTCTCCAGAACCTAAAACCCTATTGAGCATCTGTGGGGCAGCCTCAAATGGAAGGTGGTGAAGAGTCACAAGGTCTCTAACCATCCACCAGCTCCGGTGATGTCGTCTTGGAGGAGTGGAAGAGGACGCCTAGTTGGCAACCTGTGATAGCTCTCTGGTGAACACCATGCCTCAAGAGGGGTTACGGGCATGTGCTAGGAAAATAATGGTGGCCACCAACATAATAATGACCACTTTGGTCCCCAATTTGGACATTTTCACTTAGGGGTGTACTCACTTTTTGTTGCCAAGCGGGTTTAGGAGACCATAAATGGGCTGTGCTGTTGAGATATTCTTGAAGGGGACAGCAAATTTTACACTGTTATACAAGCTTGGTTACACTCACTACTATTACATTTTCTAGCAGAAATGTCATTTTCTTGAAGTGTTGTTCTCATGAAAAGATTAAAAAATATTTACAAAAATGTGAGGGGCGATACTTCCCTTCTGGCGAGCATTAATATATCTACAGTGGGGATCGAAAGTAAGGGCACCCCAGCTAAAAAATTTGTATTTAATGTGCCATAAGAGAAGCCAAGTGAAAGATGGAAGAGAACTCCAAAAGGCATCAAATTACAGATGATACATTTTCGTATTACATATGTCAACAAACAGTTAGAATTTTATTTCCATCATTTACACTTTCAAATATAACAGAAAACAAAAAAATGGCCGCCTGCAAAAGTTTGGGCAACCCTGCAGAAGAGTTAATATCTTGTAACTGGCCGCCCTTTGGCAAGTATTCACAGCTTGGTACAACGCTTTTTTTGTAGCCAGCCAAGAGTCATTCAATTCTTGTTTGAGCGTATCTTTTGGCCCATCTCTTCCTTACAAAAGTCTTCAGTTCTTTGAGATTTCTGGGCTACTGTCTGTCAGCCAATGCAACTTTTTAAAGGTCTATCACATAGATTTTCCAATTATGTATGAGGTCAGGACGATTGTGAAGGCCATGTCAAAACCTTCAGTTTACGCCTCTTGATTGTAATCCACCCCGTGGAATTTTCGAGGTGTGTTTTAGGATCCCTTATCCATTTGTTAGAAGCCATCTTCTCTTTAAACTTCAGCTTTTTCACAAATGCGCAATCAAGTTACCATCCAAAATTTGCTGAACATTTATTATTGAGATTCCATTTTTCCTTCTACTCGGTGAGATGATATCCCTGTGCCAACTGGCTGCAACATAACACCAAAGCATGATTTGATCCAACCCCAAAGCTTAACAGTTGGGACAGAGGTTCTTTACATTTAAAATTCTGTGCCCTTCTTCTCCAAAACGTACCAGTGCTTATTCCGCCCAAAGATGTTCAATTTTAAACCTGATCATCGGGTCCACAGAACATAGTTTCCAAAATGCATCAGGCTTGTCTAGTATGTTCAATTATGCAAAGTTCAAACGATTGATTTTTTGTGGTGAGGATCGTATAAGAGGTTATTCTTCTGATGACGCTTCCAATGACAGACCATATTTGTACAAGTATTCTCTCTTATAGTCGGACTAGTGGTATACCACAACACCGAGTGTCTGCCAGATCTTTATCTGGATGGATCGTTGCAGTCAAAAACGTGGGGTTTGTGAACTGTTTTTCACACAATCCTGGCGAGCTGTTATGTCTGATATTTTTCTTGGTTCTATCCAGATCTTGCTATAACTTCCAACTGCTTCCCGATGACTGCCATTTCTTAATGATATTCCGAACAGAGGATATGACATCTGCAAACGCTTTGCTATCTTCTAAATAGCCTTTCTTCCAGCTTTGATGAGCGTCAACTATTTTCAGTATTCAGTTTTCTAGACAACTGCTTAGAAGTACCCATGGTGCTGTTGTTGGGTCAAGGTCCGATGAGTCTGGGCATTATAAACCCTTTGAGAATGCACATCACCTGGTGTTCCCAGACCGAAGATAGCGAACAATCCAATTGACACATGGGCAGGTCTCAGCTTTGCAAAAGGGGGGCAGGTGCATGGCTATAAATTCTGCGAGGGTGCCCAAACTTTTGCAGAATGCCCATTTTTTTTGTGTTTTCTGTCTATTTTTGAGAAAGCTGTAAATGATGGAAATAAAAATCTCACTTTTGTTGACATAGTTATAAAGAATGTACCTAATCTGATAATTATGATGCCCTATTGGAGATTTTTCCCCATCTTTCCTTGCTGTACTCTTATGCACATTAATACAAATTTATTAGCTGGGGTGGCCCAAACTTTTCGATCCCCACAGTATATATATATATAGATGATGAGAGAGAGAGGAACATTATTTCCTATTACAGGTAAGGATTAAAGGGATTACAGAGATGTCAGCTCACTGACCTCACCTTATTGAATTGGACATTGAGGAAGCAGCAGAAAAACTGATGTATGATTGGGTTGACAAACTGCCTACCACTCCCACTGACGTTTCCTGTGCCTACAAAATATGCGTAGGGATTTTTAATAGCACATCATTACATTGTACCTGAAGTCCAGAATTTATTTTCTGTCAGCAGTGCTCACACATTTGAACTGTTTTATTCTTAATTAGCTTTAAAAATCAGACATTGTGGACATCAAGCCTGCTAACATGGAAGACTTGACAGAAGTGATCACAGCAGCAGAATTTCATCTCCCTTTTCACTGCAACCTTTTTTGTGTACAGCACCAGCAACGGATCACTGAGGGCTGTGCGGACATGAGGGCGATCTGCACTCTGCGACAAAGCCATTGCAAGCGTAAGTCTACTGGGATGCACAGAGCTTGCTGCAATATGGGTAACAAAACGTTTAAATGTTTAGTGGGGGTTTGCCAAATCAAACATCTAATATTTTGCACACATCACAACAAAGTAAGAACTCAGAGAAAGAAACGATTTGTGCTATTTTGTTGTAGTTTTTAATCTTTTATTATCTAGTGACTTTTAAAGTTAAACTTTCAGACACAAAATCTTTATTTAGATCTACTCTTTGATAGTTACAACAGAGAATTAAATCCACTCTGCATCAAATGCCTTTGAAAACCAAGATATTTTCCTTGCTAAAATTAGTAGTGACATCATCACCTTACGTAATCTGCGCAGAGAGCAGAGAGCTGTGGGAGGGGCTCCAGCAGGTCCCACCTACTACAGGCTTCCTGCAGAAAACTACAGGGGGTGGTGGAGGCAAGGCCCCATCACCCTGAATCGAAGTGAGAGAACAGCAGTAACCGGTCTTTATTACAGTAATTTTCTGAACAGAGGCAAAGTTCATACTGGATTAACTGCACTGATCTGGAACAAATACACAAAGCACACCAAGATTTAAGGAACATACACAAGGTTCTTGTGTATTGGCGTCATGGAGTAGATTTACTAAAACTGGAGCACTCAGAATCTGGTGCAGCTGTGCATGTAGCCAATCACCTTCTGACTTCAGCTTTTTCAGTTTTAGCTTTGGCAATACAACCTAGAAGCTGATTGGTTTTCTATGCAGAGCTGTAACCAGATTTTCCATTCTTCAGTTATAGTAAAAGAAACCCCCCATGCATATTAGCCAGAGTTCAACTTTAAAGATAACTGTGGCATATTTGCAGTGAGTTTATCATTTGAATGTTTACATTAAATATTTTTTCATATCAATGGTGTCAGCGGGAAGTGGTCGATAGTTCCAAAATAACTCCTAGGTGGGCATCTTAGCGAACGCAATATACAGGGATATGGGAAATGGTATTGACACACGCACATACACACACCCACACAGGGTGAACGGGAATGGATTGGTGTCTTTATTCAGCCTTACCATCTATGTAACTATTGTGACAGTGCAATGCCCTATCATGGTGTTACAAGGATGTTATGTCACCCAGGATTCTTAACTTGGCAGGTTGAGGAGCTCCAGGGAGCTTGTTTTTTTTAGAGGAAACAGTTTTTTCAGCTTCCCCACTGTTTGGTAAAATCTGGTTTGGGGCCTGGAGCCTGGATATTTCCTAGTGATCTTCATGGGAAGAAATTTCCAATCCTTGGCACTTTGTTTAAAACGTTTGAGGACCTCTGTGCTAAAGTGATGGAACCAATGGCCCCTACCATGTAAACTACATATCTTAGCTATTTGCATAATAATGCAATTGTTTAATATTGCTACTGCTTTGTGCTATTTGTGTAGTTCACCCCAGAGCCATTTGTTCCATCTTTGTGATTTGGTGATCCTAGCTGACACTGAGCGCCCTATTGTGAAATACCAGAATCCCCCGTGCTGTTGCAGGGACTGTAGACTGACATCAGATCAGGTCATTTTAGAACAGTTGTGCTGGAGTGTGGATCCAAAATAGTGTTCAAAAAGACCACACACTGCTAGTTCACTAAATGATATATGATATCGTACTGGTAGTGAAAATTGTAATCATTCACATGAACAAAAATGTCTCTTACAAACTACTAATGAATGCTGACCTTTTAGGTGTATGTATTATGCCAACATTTGCTTCAGTTGTGTTGCTCATGGTCTGTGAGGCATTCCAGCGTGTTGGTTGTTCCCAGGCAGCACTCCAAATATGAAGTTGTAATAGAGAACACCCATATGAAGAACTGCCTCGTTGCTTACATCTGTTAGCCAGAGTGATGGGGGAGTCAGAGACACAAAACTAGTGCTGAGGTCTAATGGATGTGCAGCAGTGATATCGGTAATGAGCTGCAAGTGCAGCAGTAGCTGTGTTGTTTGACAGACTGGAGATAATACTTTTTTGAGACCTCCCTAGATGTCTTTAAAAGAGAAAACTTCAGTCAAAGCTTATACATTTCAGAAAAAAACACCTTCAGCATATTAAATGATTGTTTATGACATTTAGCTCCTTCATTTATAAAAATCAGGTGTTTTTTCTATGGTAAAATTATAATATTACTGCGCTCAACCCATTTCTGAAGGCAGCCATTTTAACTGAATCCAGCACCTGTTCTGTACCGGGAATGCAGCTACCTCTTTGTCCATCATGCAATGTTAAATCACACGCCTGTGCACTGACACCTGTCCAGCCTCTCTGCCAGTCCTAGCCAGCCTTCATCTTCTCTGCCCTCCTCCACCGTCTTCTGCCCTCCTCCTCCATCCATCACAGTGAAATATCAAACAAAAAAAAGTGCCCAAAGACTCCTGGGATTTGTGACTATGATATCCCAAGAGTCAATGGGAGTAGAGTCCATACGTCATTCGCCTAGGCAAATGAAGGAAGAACTAGTTAACCACTTCAGCTCCAAGCCTATTCTCACTACTTTTCTCCCTACGTTTTCCTCCTACATACAAAAAGAACATTGGGGAACTGGAGAAAGTACAGAGAAGGGCAGCCAAACTGATAAGAGGCATGGAGGAGCTCAGCTATGAGGAAAGATTAGAGAGAAATTGAATTTATTCTCTCTTGAGAAGAGGAGATTAAGGGGGGATATGATCACCATGTATAAATACATCAGTGGTTCATATAGTGAACTCGGTGTTAGTAGAGTTATTCACCCTGAGGTCATCACAGAGGACAAGGGGGAACTCTTTACGTCTGGAGGAAAAGAAATGTAATCTCCAAACACGGAAAGGTTTACTTCACAGTGAGAGCTGTGAATATGTGGAATAGACTTCCTCAAGAGTTGGTTCTGGCCAGCTCAGTGGATTGCTTTAAAAAAGGCCTGGATTCTTTCTTAGATACACAGAATATAACTGGATACTAACATTTATAGGTAAAGTTGATCCAGGGAATATCCGATTGCCTCTTGGGGGATCAGGAAGGGATTTTTTCCCCTGCAGGAGCAAATTGGATCATTCTTTGCAGGTTTTTTTTTTCCCTTCCTCTGGGTCAACTCTGGGTATAGGATTATATTTTTTTTTTTTTTGTAATGGTTTGAACTGGATGGACTTTTTTTTTTTTTTTTCAGCCAGACTAACTTTGTAACTATGTAAAAATCTGCATTGTTCGGCTAAAAAATTACTTAAAACCCCCAAACAATATATTTTGTTTAAGCAGAGGCCCTAGAGAATGAAACATGGTGGATGTTGCTATTTTTTTTTTATGTCACACGGTATTTGCTCAACAGTTTTTCAAATGCAATTTTGTGGAAAAAAGTTTAATCAATTGTAATGCACAAAAACCTCACACATGTGGTGTGATCGCCATTTATGTATGTGTGTGGGACCAATGAGTGTGTTCACTTTTGTGCACGAGCATGGTGGGACCGGGATGCTTCAAAACATTTTTTTTCTGTTTTAGTTGAATTTGTTTTTTACATCGTAACTTTATTTTTTTATCACTTTTATTGCTATCACAAGGGATGCACAACGTTGTGATAGCTGGAGCAGTGACAGGCCCTCTTTATGGAGAGATCCCCGATCTCTCCTCTGCCCTTAAGAACATCTAATGAAACTGAGATTGGTTTGATCAGATGCTTTCACAAGCAAAACTCGTAATGCAAATACTCGTAGCTTCCGTTTTCTTATACCATAGAGATGATCGGGGACATTCTGGTCCTCAGTAATCAATAATAATCTGGCGGAACCACTGGCTTCAGTCTCGGACTCCCGAACTCCTGGTGGAACCCCCCAGTGGGGACCCCTTCTATCGCCTGTAAAATCTATCCAGCATCGCTAGGATGGCTTTTACATTTAATCCTACCTCTGGCAGAAAAAAGATACTGGGATGATGACTGTAGCTGCTGGCATCATCCCGGTATAACCACTTCAACCTTGCGTCGTATTGGTAAATCAAGGAGGCTGAAGTGGTTAAAAATTATTTTTGGACGCACAAAAATGTTATTTTTACATACATTTGCATTATAAAAGGGGGAGAGGATTCCAATGCAATTAACTTTAAAAAGAGACTGAAGGTCAACTTTAAAGGCATCATATGTTTTCAATGTTTTTGTTGTTTTAGCTAAGTATGTGTAGTTATGTTCCTTGTTGTGTTTGCTTGAATTACCTTTGTAATGATGGGCCCCCACATATGGCTGCAGTTTGTAGTGCCATGGCTGATCAAACCCCCTATGTTCATGTATTCATTCACCTAGCTTGTCCATTCACTAAAGGGATAGGCAAATGCCTGTTCTAGTCCTGCTGTGTCCCCAAAGTCATGCCTCGCCATTTCTTCCGCGTCAAATCAATTGTGGCAGTGCTAATGTGATGAACCATGTCTCTTCTCTTCATTGCTCTGCCTGCTGTGTCTGTTTAAGATCTAATTATTATCCTGAATACACGCAGAAGACTAGAATTACTTACTTTTTTTGTTCAACCAGAGGGTTGAATGAACAAAAAACTGACAGATTCTCGCATCCACCACACGAGCGATGTGGGATGCAGAGAATCTCTCCTGCTACGCTATTTTATTTTGGTGGCAGGAGGCTGGGTTCCTCTACCTTGCCAGAATACACAGATCAGAGCTGTAGCCATTGGCTCCAAAGGCTGATCTAATGCTGGTTTTCCATCAGGACCATTCAACAGAAATCAGTCTAACGTCTGGCTTCTGTTGTACAGACAGCGGTACAACCACAAAGTGAAATTTTGCCAGTTCCTGCTGAAACCAGCCATATATCAATTTGTGCGTCCCAGCCTCTAGGGACCCAGGGATTGTAGTATACAGTCAGGTCCATAAATATTGGGACATCGACACAATTCTAACATTTTTGGCTCTATACACCACCACAATGGATTTGAAATGACACGAACAAGATGTGCTTTAACTGCAGACTGTCAGCTTTAATTTGAGGGTATTTACATCCAAATCAGGTGAACAG